GCTTTCCTTTTTGTTCCTTGACTTAAAGTAATTGGTCTTTCTTTGTAACACTGTCATGAAGAACAGCAAACTGACTTAATTCTGTATGGGAAGGAAGGTAGTACAAAAGCTGTTGGTCACCAGTCCATGAGGCTTCAAATAGTGATTGTAAATGAAGGGGACACAGTGGTAAAAGAGCCTTCACTGCTTAAATCTGTGCTTTCTACTTCTGTGTAACTGTGCGTGTGAGAGAGAGAAAACTATTAGGTTTGGGGAACACTTTGCCTATAATGCACCAAATCTCTGCAGTGTCAAGATGAAACTTCCTGAGGTCAGCCCTTTACTTGGTCTAAGCAGAACTGTTTTTACCATGCTTACCAGTAAATCTGAGAACTAAACAAGTGGGGTGTTTGATACCCTTGGCATCCTTCATAGGGCCCTGAGTAGCCCCCCTTTTAAAATTGTGGCATCAAGACTCATGCACATTATCTGCTTTAAAGGGGCAGGGGGAACTGCTGCTTGTGAGCGCACATCAGCTGTTACTTGTGTCACTACAGGATCAAACAGCTAAATTGTAAGTTAAAATGCTTTAAATTTGACCCTTAATGAAGTAGAGGTAAAGGGGTAAGGAGCAGTCTTGCTACACTTAACATCACTACAGAATCACGCAGCGTTACCAGTTTATTACATCTGTCTGTCCCCTAAAGTAGTCGTTGGGCAGTAATACCTGAGCCTACCTTCCAAAGATGGCTGGAGCATCCACTCGGAGGATGCCCTATTATCCAGTGTTGTTTTGTCTGTCTCGTAGCTTCCTTGGCACACTGAGAACAATATTTAGTTAAATAAAATTGGAGGTGGCGTGTGCATCTTCTTTTTCCCTTCTGCTTGAACGACTGGCAGACTCCAGCAGAAGAATGACACTTGATATTGTAGCCGAACCTTGAATTCAGATTTTCTCTCATCGTTGGAGGCCTTGTAATCCTCTCGGCGCTCGTCTGCAGTCAGGGTTGCTTGACAGGAATATGTCACTATCGAGAAATGGATGTCAGTGTAAGCTGTTGAGAATTTCTCCTTAATCATTGGCTTTGGACAGCCCAGAGCACTGCCGAGTTGAGTTTGTGCTAGCCGATTACTGTCAGACTTGTACGTCTGAAATTCGAGATTGAGATTTTTTGGATATACAGGCTTCTGAATCTCTGGCTTCTGTATGAGACGGAGTAAGACGGCATAGGAGTGCAACTGGGATGCGCTAGGATCTAGACAACGCAGTGTTCTGATCTCTGAAATGGGTCTCTTTTGTTCCTAGGTATTTAGCGAAGAATTCGTCAACGCTGTTTAGCGCCAGTGACTATGAAGTAGCCCCACCTGAATACCATCGGAAAGCAGTATAACGCCATGCTGGCTTATAACGCAGTAACCATTGGGTCTCTAACTGTACTGTCTCCTGCCACACTTTGTTCTTCGTTTTTCTATTGCACATGTCCCTGCTGCACAGATTATATAAATCTGAGTGAATAAGTGGCGTGCGTGTGTGTGTGTGTGTGTGTGTGTGTTTGTGTGTGTGTCTGTGTGAAATGAACTGACACTTGTGAGTTTTACTGTGTTCTTCTGTCTGTTCTGAAACCAGCTTGGAGACGGCTCTAAGAACCCGTCGGTGACTGTCTACGCATCAGTCGAATGCAAAAAAAAAAAATGCAAGTGGGGTATTTGTTGTCTGAGCTGCTTAATGCTCGTGTTTTGACACCCAAGACTTACCTAACTAATCTACATCCTTACTCGGTCATGGTAAGCCCCGACTCGCCGGGGGTGAGATGCTACTAAGTCTGACTTCCGAGCCCATTTCCTTCCCCAGTGTCTGAAGTAAAACAATTGTTGGTCCATAAATTTTATTCCTAGCCTAGGTGGCTGAAGGATTGTGACTTTTTTTTTTTTTTTTTTTTTTTTGTATTCTAACATAATGGCAAATAAACTAATGAAATGTTGTATCTTGAGTGTTCTGGAAATGTTTTGTCTTTCAAAGAACTGTTTTACAAATCTTCAAATAAAGTTTGTTTTTTTTTTTTTTTTTAAATTTCAAATGGGTGTTTAACTTTTATTTCATGATTTGCCTAATTGGAGCCTGTTTTGTTTTTGTTTTTAAAGTCAAGTGCTCAGAAGTGGTAAATGAAATCCCTGTCATAGTCAGGGTTTTCAGCATAGAAAGCATAGTTTCTGATTTAAGTTGAAACAGGTTTGCAGTTGCTGTGTTTAACTTGTTTTAGCCCTCTGTACTCCTAACTGAAAGCAGGTGGAATTATGCATCATTTCGTGCTTTTATTTATGAAAACCAGTTATCTGCTGTTCCTCAATGTTTTTCTGAAGGACCCTGAGAGTTTTGGAAGACTTTGGTCAGTAGACCGAGGTGGTGAACAGAGAACCATTGGTCCCAAATGGGGGTCTTTTTCAGAAGTCCTAGGAGGCCGCTTAGTGCTATAAACAGCATTCTCCACTAGTAAATGAGCATCATGCACTTGAACTTGTTATCTTGTAATTCAGCAGATTTCCTTTTGGTAGTGAATAATTCAGTGCCTAGCTACTGATAAGGCAACTCTGATGCACTTGGCTTTTATATCTACCTACCCAGAGTGGGAATAGGTCGTAGACAAATCCATGGGTGGACAAAATGCTGTATATTTATGACTCTACTCATCACAACAGCCCTCAATTCTTGAATAACAGAGTAGTTTCAGGTGGTGTGCATAAAGTCACAGTTTGTTTTGCACAAGATGCTGCTCTTTTGCTGCTTTTACATGTTTCTTCTGAGTCCAAATACTGACTAAAATTAACACTGACGTGTACTTAAGAAACTCGGGTCAAAGACATAACTTCTTGGTGCTTGTGATGGATTTGGATCAATCCTGTCTGAAGCTGCACAGAATCGCAGACAGTTAGGGGTGGAAGGGAGCTCAGGATCACATCTAGTCCAGCCCCCTGCTCCAAGCAGGACCAGCCCCAAATACATCATCCCAGCCAAGGCTTTGTCTAGCTGGGTCTTAGACACCTCCAAGGATGGAGACTGCACCACCTCTCTGGGTAACCTGTCCCAGTGCTGTACTACCCTCCTCGTACCTCTCTGGGTAACCTGTTCCAGTGCTGCACTACCCTCCTCGTGAGTTTTTCCTAATATCCAACCTCAACTTCCCTTGCTGCAGCTTGAGCCCATTGCTCCTTGTCCTGTATCTGCCCCCACTGAGACCAGCCCAGCTCCATCCTCTTTGCAGCCCCCCTGCAGGGAGGTGAAGGCTGCTATTCAATCCCCTCAGTCTTCTCTTCTGCAGAATAAATCGTAGATTCATAGATTCAGGGGTTGGAAGGGACCTCAGTGGGCCATCTAGTTTGACCCCCTACCCCTGGCAGGCAAGAAAAGGGTCACCAAACCTGGGATCATGTGCTCCCAGCCAGGTGCCTGTCCAGTCTCCTCTTGAAGACCCCCAAGGATGGGGCGAGCACCACCTCCCTTGCAAGCCCATTCCAGATCCTGGCAACCCTGACTGTGAAGACCTTTTTTCTAATGTCCAGTCTAAACTTACACTCCAGTAGCTTATGGCCATTGTTCCTTGTTGTTCCAGGGGGTGCCCTGGTAATCAGCCCAGTTCCCTCAGGCTCTCCTCACCAGTCATGTCCCCCAGCCCCACAGCCATTGTTGTTGCCCTCTGCTGGATGCGCTCTAATTTGTCCACATCTGTTCTGTTGTGGGGGGCCCACAGCTGGACACGGGACTCCAGATGTGGCCTCCCCAGTGCTGAATAGAGGGGAGGAATCGCTGCCCTTGATCTGCTAACAGCCCTCGTACCAATGCAGCCCAGGATGCTGTGGGGAGGAATCGCTGCCCTTGATCTGCTAACAACCCTCGTACCAATGCGGCCCAGGATGCTGGTAGGCAACAAGGGTATGCTGCTGGCTCATATCCAGCTTCTTATCCACTGTAACTTCCAGGTCCGATATATGGAGTGGAAGAGATGAATAGTCTGATCTAGTCTCTGAAAGTGTTCGCTATGCATAAGAATAGCATGCTCTAGCTGTTGGTGAAATGGCTGGCACGCTAGGCAACACCCTTCCCTTCACCCCTCTCCCCACACATCCCTCTGCCTGCAACTAGCTTTTCATTTTGTCCTTAGTCTATTAACCTATTAGATGGAGCCTCATAATACGAAGTTTTTAATAGATCTTTTCTTGTTCTGCAGCCCTGTGAGCTTCATTGCAGAAATGGAGGGTGCGTTTCCATGCCCATGTTCTCGAACAGCATCACTAAGTAAGTGGGGGAAAAAACCCTGGTTGAAAGAGTAATTTTTTTTTGTATAGCAGTGAGAAGAGACTCCTGTTGGAGTTTGAGGACTGAGCCCTCTCAAGGCTGCATTGTTGCTGGCTTTTGTGAGGCTGAATCACTTCCATGCATGTGAAAGTGATTTTTTTTTTTTTTTAAATAGGCTTTTTAAATAACCCATTTGTGGAACGTGATAACATCCAAGTCAGGAGAGCAACTCGGATTGTGTAGTCCATTAAGGTTGCTCTCTGTAATGGCTTTCTGGAAGCTATTATGGTGAGGATTGTTGGTGACCTGGGCTGCTTATAGCACGGCTTTGGGCAATCAGCATTTCCTGGTGTGAATGCAAAAGGGCTAAATATCCCACCGTGGTGTTTGAGCCAAATGAGCTCAGTTGGGTTCTAGGTGCAGACCTGAGGGGTGGGGAGCTGGAGTTGTTGCTGAAAAGGGAAATGCTCTTACAGGGTCACAGTGGGGCTGCCCGGCAGTACAAGCTGCCTTGTGCACACTGCGATTCCTGTGAGCAAGCTTGGCCTGGGCCTTTCGAGTATTGGATGCATGGCTTTCATAGATTTCATAGACATTAGGGCTGGAAGGGACCTCAGAAGATCATCGAGTCCAGCCCCCTGCCCAAAGGGCAGGAAGTCAGCTGGGGTCATAGGATCCCAGCAAGATAAGCATCCAGTTTCATCTTGAAGGTGTTCAATGAAGGCGCTTGAACCACCTCCGGTGGCAGGCTGTTCCAGACCTTGGGGGCTCGGACAGGAAAGAAATTCTTCCTTATGTCCAGCCTGAAACGGTCTTGTAGTAGTTTGACTGTTCGACCTAGTCGCTTTGATGCGAGTCCCCCGCAGGCTCAGCGGGACTTGCCTTGGGAAGGGCAGTACCAGGACTCGGTCGTGTGTTGCTTTCTGCTGATGCTTGGTTATATTCATTGCTCCCCTCCCCCACTTCCATTACACACGTTTGCTTTTATCTGTGCAGCTCCCTGTTGCTAGGAACAGCCACGATGTTACATGGCAGCCTTTGCATCCAAAGCTGGGCAGTGAATGCGGTGCAGGTACTGCAGAATAACTTACCCAAGTTTTATGCTGTAGTAAATGCACTCCTTAGTAAGGAGTGGACATTTGACCAGTTCTCCTAGGCTAGCTGCCTGCAGCGTGCTGTGTTATAACTCCCGCCCTTTAGGTAAGCAGAGGAGCCGATTGCATGATGCAAACGGCTACCTTGGGTTAAGGTTGATAGGGGGATGGACACAACGCTTATTCCACAGTAAATTACCCAGGTTTTAATTGCTGCCATTTTTTCAGCCTAACTGCCTGGGAAAAGAGACTTGCACTATAACCAAGCTGTGTTGGGTCTGTCCCACTGTTACGATGGAGTAAGGCAGCGCTAGATTCAAGGTTCTCCTCATTAGACTCCAGGGCTCCCTTCAAAAAGGCCAGTTCTTGGTTTTCACTCACCCTTTGACTGGAAAAAATACTAGATCAGTTCTTCTGTGGCAAAGAGCTCAGACCACAACAGGACAGAATGGGTTTGACTTTCTGGATTTATCTTGTGAATCAAGTGTAGGTGTTGGCGCACCTAACAGCGCGAATGTTGCACAGTTCCCAGTTTTAAAGGATTTCACGGCACCCTGGTTGAGAACTGGGGTAAACCCTGCAACACACCTGAAGCCCTCTGTGCCTCGCTGCTAGGAGCGGAAACCTGCAGGAACAGCATTAAGCTTGTCAGGTTGGTTTGATGAACCAAACATTTTTCCTACCTTTCCTTCAGTGCATATGAGCTCTGCTGCTGGAAGAGTCTGGGGTTTTCCTCTCATTGCATAAATCACTCTCTAGCAGCAGGCTGCTTTTTGGGTGTATGAAATGTCAGTCAGTTATGATAGTCCTTAGGCAGGTTTGCCGGGAGGGTGGCTCAGCTGCAGCACAGATCCAGCATGCTTTCCACAGGACAAATGAACATGGCTTTCCAGCCCTCCTGAGGACACCTGATATCACTTGGCTCAGACATGAGTTAAGAAATTGGTGTTTTTGAGGAGAATGCCAGGTTCATCATCACAAGGACTGATGATGTGTGATCACAGGGACAACGGGACATAGCAATGCCTGGGAAGCAGGGTTTTCCCTGCTGGCTGCATCTGGACCTCTAAGCTGAGGACTAAGTATGTCATTACAGCAGAAGCTGAATGAAAAATAGGGTTAGAAGGGACTCAGAGGTTCAGCCCCTGCCCAGAAAGCAGGACCATCTCTGCCTAAACCAGACTAACTCTGGGCAAATGCTTGTCTAGCCAGCATTGGAAAGCTTCCAAGGATGGACATTGCAGAGCCTCTGTGGGTATTTGTTCCAGTGCTAAACAAGTTTTGTGGTAGGAATGACTTTCTCAGTATCCAACCCTGCTCCCTCTGCTTGCACTTGAATGCCCAGCGCTGCTGCTGGGCACATGACCAAGAGGGAATAGTTGGCACAGCCACTCTGAGGGGTCCGCACTTGAATGCCCAGCGCTGCTGCTGGGCACGTGACCAAGAGGGAATAGTTGGCACAGCCGCTCTGAGGGGTCTTCGAGTTTGCAAACTGCTCTCTCTACCCTTCATCCACCATCTCCCGGGCAGGTGGCAGAGCCCATCTCTTCTCAGGCTATTAAGGAGGGCATGAGCTGCAGGCTGGTGGTTCCTGTGTTCACAGTTGTTCTTTGGGGCATCTTTAATGTTACAGGTGCCTACAGCATGAGATGGGATCTTTTAGAGCACTGTCATGCACTCGAAATGGGTAAACCAAGGCCCCTGTTTTAGAGTGCGATGGCATATGGATATGTGTATAGAGGAGGAGAGACCAAGGGAACAGCAGAAATTTCTCGCGGAATGGAAATAACGACATTTAGCAATGATGTTTGTGAGCTGCTATGGAAATGGTAAGGGGGACCTGCTGAA